GGACCATAAACTTCTGCGTTATGCACAGGCTTTCAAAAGCCTGAATGGAGGAAAACATATGTTCCTCTATTGCTCTCATTAGCATAGTAGCTAAGCAACTCCCATATATTTAAAAGTAAAAATATACTATTTTCTCCTTTCCAATCTGTAGGAGAAATAGCTTGATCAGTTTCTAAGCATTTCATCTGTATTTCTTTCGCCTCATTCCCCGTTAGCAGTGTGCTACATGAACTGAGATTTTCCATTTTCCACTCCCTTATGCAGGACTAATCTACATAAGAGAGAGAATGAGGCTTTATGATCTGTGGTCCAGTTTTCAGATCTAACTATGCTACAAAGCTAGACGAATTTTATTTTCCTCACAGAACCTGCATATGTTAATAGCAAGCCCGAGATCAGACTGTATTTACAACACAGTACACTGATGCCTTCTAATAAGTTTAGGTAGCTAAAAAATGTATGGGCATATGTACTCCTTGTAAACTAGCCAGAAGATTCCAGATCAGCTAGTCAAGTTATAATAGTTGGGAACAAGGGAAAGGGTTCCTGTAATCTTAACTGAGTTGCAGTCTCATTGAATATCTCTTCATGCAGTTTGGTTCCATAATTTTTGGTAGATTTCACTAAAAAGGTTGCTGCAGAAACTGCACTATTTTGCAAACCAGGAAAATTTTGAGAATCTCAGTGGTGCCTAAATGTTGTACTAAGCCCCACTTCTCCCAGAGAGATAGGTACTTCCCTGCAACCTGATTTAGGCAACTATCTCTCCTAGAGATTCTCACCTATGAACAGTCTCCTGGTGTTAGGCCCCATGTCATTTTAGCAAAAGCTGGAGGGGGGTGAGGGTGGAGGATGACCACCACCCTCAGAACTTTTAGCCCAGTGATTAGGGCTGTGGGAGACTCTTGGTTCAATTCCTCCCCTCTCATTTTAGGGGGAGAAGGGATTTGCCATCTTTTATATGCATGCCCTAGACCCTGGGATATGGGATATTCTGATAGGACTGTGTGGAGGGGTCGGGGGGAGCTTTCTTAGTCTCTCCCATTGAAACTGTTTCACTGTGGATAAATAATTAGTCAGTGGAACAGAGGATTGGATCCTATATCTTTCACATCCTGGATAAGTGCTCTAATCACCAGGCTTGTGCTCTTGCATTCTCTCTCACTCAAAAATGCTTTTCTTCACGTATTTATACAGAGTACGACAGCTCCAACAGGAGAGATAGAGCCCCATTTCAGAATATCACATAGCCCAATTGGTAGGGCACTCACCTAAGAAATGGCAGATCCCCATTCAAATCTCTTCGCCTCTTCAGACAGAGAGGGGGACTTGAACTTGGGGATCTCCCATTTCCTGGGTGAGTACCCTAACCACTAGGCTAAAAGTTATGAGGGAGCGTCTCAACTTTTTTGTGTGAACTTACCTGAGGGGCCTGGTCCAGTAAGCATGCTCAGAGGGAACCTATTGGATTAGGTCCTGCAAGTGAGTTAGGTGGCCAAACACTTATCTTCTCCTGGTTCGTGAACAGCTCTGGAACCTAGGTGAGTGTTAGGCCTCTGGATGCCTTAGAGGGAAGTCGCAGTGGGTGTGCTCAGAGGCAGAAACATAAAGGCCTAGGGAACTTTTTATTGCTAGAGCTAAACTTGGTCTACACTACAAAGTTAGTCAACATAAGTTCCCTTGTGTCAACTAGTTGTGCATGCGTTTATGTTCAGATTCTTCTCTGGCCAGTATTAGTGCCCCATTATGGCAACACAGTAACACCATCTTCTCAAGTGGCATTCAGCCATGGTCTACCTACAGAGGTTGGGACAGTGCGATTGTAGACCCAGCATGACCGATGTTGACAGTCCTTCAGCAGCTATCCCATAATGCCTGACAATGAATGTTCTGGGCACAATTGTGAACGCCACTGCCCAGGGGTCATGGAGACTGGAAGCCACCCCCCCCCACCTTTAAAAAAACCTGCATATGTTTCTTAATACTCTTTCCTGATTGCCCAGCTTGGCGAGCACACCTAACAGCTCTCAATTGTTGCATATAACTGCCCAACTAACCATGCCAGCTACACACTATAGACACACTTGTGCCTGGAGTAGACTAGAGGTGTTGGAGCTGGCCCTGTTGGGGGCAGGGGCAGGGGGAGAGAACAAGCTGTACAGGCACAGCTACAGACCAGTCACAGAAATGTGGGGACATCTACAAAAAGATTGCACGGGGGATACAACAGTGATCAGCCGCGGTGCTGTGTGAAAGCGAAGGAGCCGCAGCAGAGGCCAACAGTTAGTCTGGCGCTGAGTTAGACCTGCCACTTGACAATGTATTACTGTGGCTGACTGTTAAAGTGCTCTTTCAAGGCCTCCCACGGCCTCATAGCTCCACACTGAGCTCTTCTAATGGCCCCTGTGTCTAGCTGTTCAGACTCAGAAGACAGCCACTCCATCTGTGCCCTCCAGCCTGGTGGCAGCTTTTTTCCCCCTTTGCCTCAGAGATATTATGCAGGACGCAGCAGACAGCTATAACTATTGGGATATTTTTCTCTCTGAAATTCAAGCTCATAGTAAATACCACCAGTGTCCCTTCAGTTTACCAAAAGCACATTCAGCTGTCATTCTGCACTTGCTGATATGGTAGTTGAATATTTGTTTGGTGCTGTCAAGATGGCCATTGTGCTGATTTGTGAGTAAGGGGTAGGCTAGGTCACCCAGGCTCACAACTGGCATTTCAATATTTCTAATGGTAATCCACCACTCAGAGAAAAATGTCCATGCTTGCAACTTTCTGAACAGTCCTGTGTTCTTAAAGGTGCAAGCATCATGCTCCCTCCCCAACCAGCCCACACTGACATCAGTGCAGCAACCCTGATGATCCATCAATGCCTGCATAACCGTAGACAAGCAGCCCTTTCTGTTGATGTACTCTGTGGCAAAATGAGCTGCTGCCAAAATAGGGGCGTGCATGCCATCGATCACTCCACTGCAGTTTGGGAACCCCAGTGTTGCAGATCCATCCATTATGTCCTGCACATTGCTGAAAGTCATAGTCCTGCATAGCAGGATTGAGCACACTTGCATAACAATGGCCCCTACAGCAGATTTTCCAACTCCAAAATGACTTCTCACTGACCGGTAGCAAGCTGGCATTACAAGTTTCCACAGTGCGATGACCACTTGCTTCTCTGCTGTCAGTGATGCTCTCGTTCTGGTGTCCCTGCACAGGAGGGCTGGGGCGAGCTCGGTACACAGATCCAGGAATGTGGTCTTTCGCATCCGAAAGTTCAGCAGCCTCTGCTTGTCGGGACCGGCTCTGGGCACCAGCAAAGCAAGCACGTGCTTGGGGGCGGCCCATTTCCAGGGGCGGCATTCCAGCCATCCTTTTTTTTCGGGGCAGTTGCGCTCTCAGAGCTGCGCCACTTAGACAGGGCAAGGGCGCTGTGCCCCCGGCCGTAGCGGGAAGGGGAAGCCCCAACCCCGGGATGCTGAGCTGCCAGGGCCCAAACGCTACCTGGGGAGGAGAGGGCGAGTCCTGCCGGGGAGCCGTGGCTGAGCCGCCCCATCTGCGCCCTGGCTGCTTTGCTGCCTTGTGCCACCCCTTATATCGGGGCTTCTCTGTGCAGCCGGGCGGGGTAGGGGGGAAAGGCCCTGCAGGCCCTGGGAGAAGGTGGCATCACTCCCTCCGCTTCCAGTGCCGCCTGCGAGCCCCTGAGCTTGGGCAGCAAATCTTTTGCTTGGGGCGGCAAAAAACCGAGAGCCGGCCCTGCTGCTTGTCGTCCCAAATCTGCATTATGATGTGATCCCACCAGTCAATACTTGTTTCTCAGGCTCAGAAGTGGTGTTCCACTGTTTGCAGCTGCCGCCAATGACCTTGAATTGGCTTTCGTTATGTCCTGCAGCAAGCTGCCCTCCACACAATTGTTATGCCTTCTGTTGTTATGGTTCTTGTTGCAGCTCTGCAAATATTGGAGGATTGTTCATCCTGTGTCTGTAACACTGATGACGCTACCATAGAGCTAGAATGGCTCCGTGCTTCTGTCAAAGATGGTGGACAGTGAAAAGTGGCACGTGAGTTTGTGGGATTTTGTTTTTAAAGGAGATGATAATGGGCTACAGATGGCATTATGACATGAAGAAAGTTGTACGATGGGAACTTGACCCCTTGCTCCGTCACTCCAGCATGACTGGTTTCTGTCCTACAACATATTGCAAACATTTCCCCAAAGACAGTGCACTGGATGGTGAGGCGTGAACACTGGAATACCTAGCCACGGTGTACTGCACTGCACCTTGACACAAGCACTCCTGGTGATTTTGCGCTGGGCTGGCCCAGGCGGCCAAACATGCACATACACCAGCAACATGCTAACTGCAGCAACTTCATGCTGATGTAACTTGCATCGACCAAAATTTGTAGTGTAGATATGGCCTCGAGTGAGTTTAGGTGCCTGCAGGATTATTAAGAAGTTCTGAGTATTGCAGTGGTCCTGAAACTGGGACTTTAGGCACTAACTCCTTTTGTGCATCCAGGACCTAAGTCTTGTGTGGATATTGTTCTAAGTGATTTTTCCAAGGTCACACTGGAAGCCTTGGGCAGAGCTGGGAATTGAACCACAGTCTGAGTCTCCATCTAGTTCATCCACCACAAGACCATCCTTCCTCTCTAACATGGTCTACCATGTACATCTGTAGCAACTCCCCACACAAGTCATCAACGATGTTTAACTGCAGGATCTTTAGCCCAGACCTCTACGGTTTGAACTAAAGGACCAATTAATTTTATCCAGATCTCTGAAGTGGGGCAGGGGGATTGGCTAAAAGTGCTGACTTAGTCCCATCTCTGTAACATGCAAACAAAAAGTAGGGATGATTTGAACTGACGTTTCATTTTGTCTGATTCACCAATATTTTTGAGGAATTAAGATAAAAGGATCTGGATCCATCACAAATTAACAGTGATTGTGAAAGGGGTGAGGTAAATGGAAGTTGAAAAGAAACTTTTCAGGCTTTTCCATCCTGCATTTTTATTTTTCAAAAAGTTAATTAATTAAAATATAAAAGTACATCCAGTGACATAAATATGCATCTTGCAAGTCAAAATCATTCACATGCAGCAAATTAATTATGCAACACAATATATTAAGGCCAGCATTTTAAACTTGGGTACCTAAAGAACTGGGCTGATTTGCAAAGGTGCTGTGCACCTGCTACTCCCATTGACTTCTCATACTGGGCTAAATGCTTGGCTGCAAATTGGCCCTGCTCCATTAAAGTGAATGCAGTGGTGCTAATTTTCACCGGCAGCGGATTTGGCCTGCAGCTGCCTTAATGACATGTTCTTTCAGGTACCATAAGGTCCTTTATTTTAGCCCATTAAAATCTTTCTTGGAGTCAAAGATGTGGCACATCTAAGTTTTTATTCCTACCATGGTTCAAAAAGAGACTGTCCACTCCTGACTCATCCCTACCAAATGTACCCTTTTCGGAATTCATTGATGCATTAGTCTCAGGGAGTTTCCTGAACACCAGTTTCATGTTGTTCATTTCAATTACAGTTGTACTGTATTTAGAAGTAAAAACACCATTTCAAGTGGCTCATTGGATGATCCCATAAAATTACATCATGGCAGAGATTATCCACCATTTCTGAAATGCCTGACCTATTTCCCAGCTCAAAAATACCAGATCTAATTGATAGTCTACTAAAGCCTCTAATGAGAATAATTTCCTATGGCAGCTGTTTCTTAGGAACTCATTTCATACACAGTATTGATCTCTTGCAACTAACAATGACAGTAGTTAGTTTTTACTAATGCTCACTGGGGTTATTAATTTCTTTTTCTTGTGTGCTTTCTACACTTACTCAGGGTTATCCTTATAGCAATTATATAATATCCATCTTAAAAATCTTGTTCACAATCACTGAGGGATTATACTAGTTCATCTATGGTTTTTCCTGTTGTGACTGAGGGCGGAGGTGGACTTCACACATATTCCAGGCAACATTTTTTGCTATTTTTTAAAAAAGTCTTTGAAATATCTTTATCACAGCCATCCAAATTTTCTTCTGGGAGTTTTGATACCCTTTCAGATGTATAGAAATCATTATTGGTAGTACATCATGTCAATAAAATACATACAATGTTAACTGAATAATGCAGTTGTTGATTATCTGTTACTACTTCCTATATCAGTAAAAGTATTCCTGAGTCCATAGAGGTGGGTAACTCAAAATATCCACTGATTTTGCTTGCAAACTGTATGTAACATAGAAATGTGATCCCCATTTCAGTATCTTAGTATATGGCTTTCAATCCTCTTCATTCAAAGATTTTACAGTGGAAAAAATCCTGAGTTTGCATCAAAAATATTCAGTGTTGTTTAAAGCATTTACATCTCATTGTACATTCTAGAGACCAACTTTCCATCAACCCAGAAATAAATTATTTTTTAAAATTGTAACTTTGTTATAGAAAGACAAGGTGGGTAAGAATATCTTTTATTGGACCAACTTTCCAGCCACACACAGCTCTTCTTCAGGAGTGAGAAATGTACTCAGAGTGTCACAGCTAAATACAAAGTGGAACAGACTGTTTTAGCATAAGTAGTTAATACATATTTCAAGTGACCATTCAAGATGAAGTGGCCTGTTAACCCCACTTCAGTCATGTGGGGAAAGAAAGGGGCAAGTGATGAGCTGGCAGAAGCTGAAGAACCGGTTCCTTCAGTCGCTCCAGGTCTTTGGTGGCACTGAAGGACCTGCCGCCAAAGTGCCGCCGAAGGCCCGGAGTGCCGCTGGGTGAGTAAAAATTCTCAGGGGAGCTTCCCCAGACGAGATCTCAGGCAGGACGGACAGGACGGAGTTTGCCCACGCCTTTAACAACCGGTTCTAAACCGGCTTCAAAATTTAACAACCAGTTCACGCAAACCGGCTCCAGCTCACCACTGGAAAGGGGGATAAAAAAGCTGAGGGGGGTTAGTGGGTTACAAACTGTTGTAATAAGCCATAAATCTAGTGTCTCTACTCAGTCCATGATTTTTAGCATCTAACAAAGTTATGAATGTAAGCGCCTGGGCTCATCTTTTGAAGGTGTTGTGCAGGTTTCCTTTGAGAATGATGTCAGATATAGAGTGATCACTTTGTGAAAAGTGTTCACTCACAAGTGATATTGTGTTTTTGTCTATTGTCATTTTCCTGTGTGAGTACATTCAAAAGCGTAGTGATTGTCTGGTTTTACCCATATAGTTGCTATGGTGGCATTTAGTGTGCTGGTTGAAGTATGGTACATGTTGTGATAGGCATGTGTAGAACCTATGGATCTTGAAAGGTGTGTGGTTGGGGGTGTTGATCATTGTAGTAATGGAGATATGTCCACAGGTTTTGCATCTGTTGTTCTGGCAGGGTCTGGGGCCACTTTGAGTTGATGTGTCCTGGTCTGGGGGGAACTTCTTACATGGTGAGCTTGAAGAGGTTGCGTTGTTGTTTAAAGGTCAGAAAAGGGGGTTCAGGAAAGATTTGTTTCAGGATGTGGTCCCCACTGAGTATGGGTTATAACTGTTCAATGATGCACTGTATAGGTTCCAGTGTTGGGGTGGTAGGTGGCAACTAGTGGTGTGTGGTCAGAGAGTGGTGTGTGGTTATTTCTATATTGAAGCAGGTTCTCTCAGGGTATTTGGGTGGCACATTTCATGATGTGATCTACTTCTCTGGTGGAGTGTCCTTCTTTGGTGAAGGTGGTTTTAGGTGTGTTAAGGTTTATATCCAGACTTTCTCCCTGGAGTATATTCTGTGGTATCTGAGTACCTGGCTGTAGGCAGCAAATTTCTTGGTGTGCTTGGGGTGGTTGCTAGATCTATGAAGGTAGGTGTGGGGATCTGTGGGTTTTTTGTATATAATTGCCTGTAGGATTCCATCGTTGATGCTAATGTCAGAGTGTTCTAGACACTTAATTTGTGCTGGGGCTCTAGGCTTGGCAGTTCATAGCCCTGGCACCTGCTCCTGGCCAGCAGGCAACGCTCTCCAGCCACCAAGCTCTGAAGGCAGCGCGGCCGCCAGCAGCAGCACAGAAATAAGGGTGCCATACCACCCTTATCCATTCTGCAAGTTCTTTCTTGTGTGTAAGCGATTCAGGCAGCAGAAATGCAACACTCCGCCTCCGCTCACATCACTCAGCTGCCAGAGGAACATCCCTGGAGTGTTGTGCTGCTTCTTACATGACACACTAGCATCAACCCTTCACACAGTGACCATCAGTTTTTGGGAATGAGAATGGTTGTATTTTGTGTGCTGTCTCTGACTAAGTCAAAAAATATTTGGCTCTGTGTGCTAGTCCATGTAAAGTGGGAAGGAGAATCATTTATTGCACTCCCTCCTGTGAAAACAGGAGTTTAAGGGGTAGTGGCCCTGTCCTCTAGCTTCTGAAGACACCATCTGGGAGGGCAGTCCATTCACCAAAGAAGCCTGGGGAAGTGGGGGTAACAAACAACCAGGCTTTTCTCCTAAGGAGATAACACTAGGCAAGGTTGATAGATGATTGTGTAAGGACGTGTGGGCTGTTGGGGTCCTCCAAAGGTTTGGCTAACTTGACTAAGCATCAGACCCATAGCTTTTCCTCATTTCCCCCGTCACTAGATTTATATGGAATTTGGCTGTGCTGAGTTTCCTTTTACCTATAATTTGGTTATGTAACGGATGGTTTGTAATGTTCCTTTACATATAGTTTAGCTATGTAGAAACTCGTTTGGAGTAAGCCAAACTACATGCAGTAGTGATGTTAATGCTGAGATTTACTTGCGTTTTTATTTTCTTATCCTTGTAAACATAGTGTGCAGCAGATCATAAGATTCAGCACTCTTTTGGGTACAGTGGTAGGAAAGAGGAAACTGCTCATGGTACAAACAGAGGCTAGGGACATCATCCCTGCCCATCCTGGCTAATAGCCATTGATGGACCTATCCTCCATGCATTTATCTAGTTCTTTTTTTGTACGCTGTTATATTCTTGGCCTTTACAACATCCTCTGGCAAAGAGTTCCACATGTTGACATTGCGTTGTGTGAAGAGATACTTCCTTTTGTTGGTTTCAAACCTGCTGTCTGTTAATTTCAGTTGGTGACCCCTGGTTCTTGTGTTATAAGAAGGAGTAAATAACTCTTCCTTATTTACTTTCTCCACACCAGTCATGATTTTATAGATCTTTATCATATTCCCCCCTTAGTCATCTCTTTTCCAAGCTGAAAAGTCCCAGACTTATTAATCTCTCCTCATATGGAAGCTGTCCCATACACCTAATGATTTTTATTGCCCTTTTCTGTTCCTTTCCCAATTCCAATGTATCTTTTTTGAGATGGGACAACCAGATCTGCACGCAGTATTCAAGATGTAGGTGTACCATGGATTTATATAAATATGGAAAAAGCCTAAGTTGACAATTTATTTCCATGTGAAAGCAGAAAATTATACTATCAACAATTAAATAAACCACGTGGTGATTATGTATTTCCTGGGTGATAGAGAGGGAAATATTTGACATCAGAGGTGAATATTTGTTCCTCTTACACCAAATGAGGTCAACAGTGATGCAGTTGCCCTTTGGCTGACTTCAGCCACTCAGTAGCTAGAAATAGTTTCACATGTATAGCCAGAGTAATTTTAACTGATAACCATGTAACTTCTTGAAGTCAGATAGTAGCTAATGTTACAGACCATCTTACATGAAAATTTGGTGTGTGTGGGGAAAATAATTCATGGCCATGGGAATTCACTGGGCTTTTCCCTGCACCATTGAAATCAATGGAATTTCCCCTCCCCCCCGGCCCCATTTACTTCAATGGGAGCATGATAGATGCCTAAAGTTAGTATATTTGTTGTGCTAAGTGTGTTATGCACAAAACTGGCTTCTAATGGATCAGTGAGGAGCATAAGGTGCAAAGTTCAGGTCCAGATCCAAACTTCACCAAAGTTTGGGTGTTGGGGATATTCAACTCTGGAGTTTTGGTTTACCTCATCACAGAGGCACTGTCTAGCTGTGAACTTTGAATCCAGATCTGAACTACTCCAGAGTTCAGTGGCATTTAGATTCAGGATTTTGGTTCAGGCCATTCTCTACAATGAAGAAAAGCATCTTGATTAGGGTACTGTCTTCACACATAGCCACATATACCATTCTTCTAAATCATAGATTCGTGCATCCCCATACTGGGGGGCACAATCTAAAGGGGAAGACACATGACTGTCCCACGTATCTCCTCTGCCCCGTGACACCCCCTCTTTCCCTGTTTATCTCTTCACTTTGGAGTTTCCATAAGCCCATGATAACATCAGATTAATAACTTAATCTTTTATTAAATAAAGAATAGGAAAATGTCATTATCTTATAGAAGAGACTTTCAAAAACTCTACCTAGAATCACTTGTTTCTACCAACCTATTGTTCATGATAGCTAGTGCACCGATGCCTGCAGAGAAGCCATTTTGTCTGCTGTTCATACTGACGTTTCTAGGGTACCCATTGGCCATCTCGGACAGCTGCTTTTGCAAAATGGCCAGGGAGACTTTGTTTGATTCTGTGAGCTCCTTCATTGAAATCATTTCACCAGAAAGCCTCCTCCCCTCTGTGTCACTGTCATATTGTCCATCAGTTTCCACAGAGATGTCATGCCTATGGAAGCGGCTTCCTGGGGTGATGGCATTGCGACGACCAAGGCGGGCACTTGATTTATGGCACTTTGAGCAACACCTGCATCCAAACTTTTTCAACAGCCAGTTTAAAACTTGCTTGATTACAATTGATATGACATTAAAAAGGGAGTATATGCAAGATACACCCATTAATATAAACATGAAGTTTCCAAATCTGTATAATCCCTGATTTTGGTACACTGCATTTTGACTGCTTACCAAATCTCCAAAGCCAATGGTGCTGAAGGTGACAAAACAATAATATAAGGAATCAATGTAGTTCCATTCTTCCACTGCTGTGTACATTGCTGACGCACAGCAAGCCAGTGTAATGGCAAAAATTCCCAGAATCAGCATCACATGATAAACTGATGGTTTCCATCCAGCAAGGCTGTCCACTTCAGAGATAGCTGATCCCCTTCGAAAGTTAGCGGGTAGAAGACCACTTCTTCGCAGTTGCCGCTCATGACACGCCTTCATGATAAAAGCCAGGAGAGAGATAATACGCTCCAGGAACAGGTTGAAGAAAAGGATAGTCCCAGCACACCCGAATAGTCCATAAATTATGAGGAACACTTTTCCAGCCACTGTTGCGGGAGTGGTCATTCCAAAACCTGCAGCGGCACAGATAATGTAATTATAATCACAACATAGCTCTTCCTGCATATACTCCTAGTATATCTTATCCGACCACATCCCCTTTCACTTTGACAATTAGGTTTGAATATGTTTAACCAGGTAGTGAAATCATGCTGTGTATAACTCAATTTGGACCAGCCGGAAGTAAAGTGAATTATTTCTCAGGAGGTGAGGAAGATTCCAGAATGCTGGACAAGGTGAACAGGATTCAAGAGGGAGCAAAAAGGTCTCTAGGAAATGAAGTGTAGGTTATTAACAGAGAAGGGCTATTGTGTTTGGAGGAGCTGTATTAGTTGCTCTGCAAAATTGGAATTCATAAGCTCAAATCACTTGGTGACAATGTTAAATGAACACACCACATTTTTGCTTCTGTTCATTCAAGCCAGCATGAACCTCTGGAAAGTTTAGTTCTCTACAGCCAAGGCACCAGTTCCCCAACTGCTGTAAATCATTGTAGCCCCACTCAAGTTAAGGTCTCACTATGATTACACCAATTCCTGCTAACAGATGACAGATTTTAATGTGTCCAATAGTAAAGGAATTTGAACCTTGATTATCTTTTAAATGTATCAGCGCTTCCGTCAAAGCCTTCCATTCAAATACAGAACCAGACTGACTTTCCTGAAAGTATCATCACACAAAGGAGAATACGTGAAATCGTGGTTCCATTGCAATCACTGGCAAAACACCCCCGACATCAGTGGTGTCACGATATTCCCTACAGCCACAGATCAAGAGTTAGTGAATAGCTAACATCTTGGTTTTGTAGCTCTAAACCCAGTTCTTGCAACTTTTTAGAAGACAGAACTGTCTGTCTACCAGATAATATATTTTTGTTGTTGTGCATGTGAAATATTTTGAATAAATTACATTTGTTTCATTTGCTTTTGGAATGTTATAAAAATTGTATCCAGTTGTCAGATTTTTTTCAATTTTTGATAGAAAAATTAATAGAAACTTTTATTAAACCCCACAAGCAGTAAGAATTATGGAATCCTGTAGACTTAAAACAAGCTACTATACTAGTATAAGCTTCGTGAATGGAATGAAAACCAAGAAAAAATAAAATACTGCTTCTGAGTTCAAATAAGCAGTTATTGTATTGTGAGCACATGATATCAAAGTCTGGGCCATGAGCTTTTTAGACACAAACTTCCCCTTTGCAAATGTCATGTAAAACATGTTTAATAATGCTATATACTATAGATTTCTTTTTTTAAGAGAATTGTTTAAATATTTTAATTAGATACTTCACCACTACCTAGAAATATCCTGTAATTAAAATGAAGGGATACTTTGTCACAGAGGAAAGAAAGATATGAAGATTTTTTAGATTAAAAAAGTGATTTATACAGCGTTGGTCAGTTTTTCTAAGATAAGATAAGAAGATAATGTCATCATCAGCAATTTTAGATTATACTTATTATAGGAAAGACAGGGATATTGCAAATATGGAAGCGATCTGATGGCAAGTGCATATTTAATTATCTAAAGGAACTGGCAAGTTTTTAAAAGCCACCATTCCATTCCATTTTTTTTAACTATAAAGCAGACTCTTTATCCATTGGGCATCACTTTATTTGATTATTTACACCTATGGAAATATCCAGGTATTTATTTATTGAAGGAGATTATCTATCTATCTATGCTAGCATAAAGTGTTAATTCAGTAACTAAAGTGTTAACTATCTGTGTGTATATTATATAACTATTCTCTGTGTGTATATAAAGTCTGCTGCAGTTTCCACGGTATACATCTGATGAAGTGAGCTGTAGCTCACGAAAGCTCATGCTCAAATAAATTGGTTAGTCTCTAAGGTGCCACAAGTACTCCTTTTCTTTTTGCGAATACAGACTAACACGGCTGTTCCTCTGAAACCTATCTGATAATGTAGACACAGGGACTACCCAGGACTCCATATGAGTGGAGGCCTTCTATAGCTTGGGAGCAGTAAAAGGTAATACAGTGTTGAACCTTGTGGTAGTAACAAGTGCTATAACCTGAGGAAAAATCTCTGAAAATGTTAGCCTTAAAAATTGTTATTGTCAATGTTCACAATTGTTTCATGGATTATAAGTCAACTGTTCTACATCTGGATAGACAGATTTAGTAAACGTTTTGTCCTTTAGAGATTGTCACTTTCATTATTTCAGAGTTTTAACTCTGTATTTTATATACATCCTGAAAATTCTAAATTCTTGTCTGTACCCCAGCCAAAAGGTAAGCTGAGGTATAGGAAATATACCTAACATTAGCATACTGCTTTCCCCAAGCCTATTACAAATTATACAAGGTGCAGGGCAATACAGAGTCAGGTCCCATTTCACTTGACTCTCAGTTCTGTGCATAAACCATTAGACCACCCTTTCTCCTTAGGAAAGAACTTACAGAGAAATAATTAAGCATTATTACGATGACAGTATTTTTCTTTGGTTGCTTGCATGATGTTTTGGTTTGTATTTTGTTTCAGAGTATCTGGATCTATTTGGGCTGTCACGTGCGACTTTACTTTTATTGATATTTAACATCCAAACATAACATGGTGACTGCTTTATCAATAAATGGTCCGTTTTAGGATCTGAAGTTTGGCATAGCTAATATATATGTACTCAGTGATAATCCAAGGCTTTGGTTGCGAAATACGATTGACTTGCTTAATACTATTTATTCAGGGTAGCAGAGATCACTTGGGGCTTGCATGTCTAGTAGGCAGACTGTGGCTCAACAGTCTTGGGATGGCCTTGCCAGGCAACCTACAAGTTACCAATTGGCCAAGTTACAGTCCACCTTCCCCAGTGCTCCCCAGGTCAGGCAGAGGAGGGGAGAAAGGGTAGGAGAACCTGGGGCCTCCCTTTTTACTGGGTCCAGCCCAGAATACCAGGAAGAAGGGATGAGGAGAGCCTCAGGGCAGGTCTACACTACAAATTTACATCGGGGCAGCATGCCGCTGCAGTGTGTTGAGTGAAGATGCTCTAAGCCATTGGGAGAGAGCTCTCCCATTAGTTTAGTAACTCCGCTTCCACAAGGGGCTGTACCTATATCAGCGGGAGAAGCTCTCCCGCCAACATAGCCATGGTCCCCTCTAGCTGGTACAACAGAGGAGCCTTCCCTGGGGCTCTTCCTACCTCCTCCTGTTCTCTTTCCAGTTTAGGATGTGGTCATGGCACTCAGCTTCCCTCTTAGCGGAGGGTTGCTTCCACAATCTCACTAGTTCAAACAGTTTGTTGAGTCTTCCAAGTCCACTTTTCAGTGCCCACTTGCTTCCCCTTGTCAGGGGAGAGAGGCGAGAAAAAAGGGCGTCAGGCCCTTGGCCTCTTTGTTTGGTCTTACCCATAGTCCAGACTCTTCCCCATAGATCCCTCTGTCCCAGAAGCTACAGCCTGGCTGCCTGCCTGCAGCCAGTCTCTCCTTCACTCTCCCCAGCTTGACTGTCAGAGTCTCCTTTGAAGCAGATCCTCCATTTGGAGCATGCTGTGCAGTTGCTGAAGGTCAGGGCCTTCTGGGCCCAGAACTGCTCCATTACTCCTTTAGTCTTACTGAGGGGTCTTTAAATCCCATCACAGAGAGGGAACTAAGAACATAAGAACTGCCATACTGGGTCACAGCAAAGGTCCATCTAGCCCAGTATCCTGTCTTCTGACAGTGGCCAGTGCCAGGTGCCCCAGAGGGAAGGAACAGAACAGGCAATTATCAAGTGATAAGATAATTATCAAGTGATCCCATTCCTTGTCGCCCATTCCCAGCTTCTGGCAAACAGAGGCTAGGGACACCATCCCTGCCCATCCTGCCTAATAGCCATTGATGGATCAATCCTCCATGAACTTATCTAGTTCTTTTTTGAACCCTGTTATAGTCAGAGTTCAAACTAGTAAGAGAGAAACTTAGCGTTACAGAGAGCCCACATATCATAGCAACTTTAAAATGCTAAAGTGTGGCATCTACCAGCTGGAGAGATTTACAGAACTTCTAAAGAAAAGAGATTACACCCTCTTTTTTCACCTCCACACAAATCACGCTAGAGAACGGATTCTCTCCCCCCTCCCAACCCTCCCAATGGCTTCTGAAGGACTCAAGGACATTTAGAAAACATAAGTTGTCAATTAAGCATTCAGATCTTTCCCCAGAAAGTTATGCTGTAGATCTTCAAAAGTGGACATTCTCTAAGAGCTGTTTTCAGAGTAGCAGCTGTGTTAGTCTGTATTCGCAAAAAGAAAAGGAGTACTTGTGGCACCTGAGAGACTAACCAAGAGCTGGCATCCATGCTCAAGCTTTCTGGGTAATTCAAAAAATTCGAAATCATTATTTGTTTCATTGTCTCAGTGTGACAATGACTACAATTTCACCAGGTGAAAACCTGCCTGGGAGGTTCTACAAAGTCGTACAGAGAGGTAGAATAATAAATAGCCTGTGTGCCAGACTGTGCAATGAAATGCTCAGAGGAACGGTAAAACAGAGCCTTTCATTTCTAGATCACTGGTCTAAATTTGGTCTACCTTGGTAGTGAGCAAGAGTCACTATCTTCTGATGGCTATTTGTTAACTTTTGAGAAAGGATCAGTCCAGTTCCTAGTGCGGTCAACATCAAAATGGCAGACCTGCTGGAGGCTTCAGCACAGAGGCCTAGGAGTTAAGGGGGGGGGGCAGAAATTAAGGGTGAGGTGTTGTTCCTCTGGAGCCCAGGGTCAGTGAAACTAAGGGAATTTAAGTCATCTTTGTACCCTCCTGAGTGTGGGCTGTTCCAGGGGCTGGAGAGGCCTCCCCTTAACTTAGTGGTATTTAAACTACAGCAGCCTCCCCAGGCTGCCCTACGTGCTTCAGCATTGCCTGAAATCTCCACAGAGCTGAGTGCTGTGACCCTGCCTCGGACATACCCCTTCTATCTCTGGCCCCACCCTGGAACACCTTATACTTGAACTTCTGAGGGGGTCATTGGGAGGCAGCCTTATGCCAGTTTTTCACAGTACCCACATGGAGG